CAGCCGGTCCCAGCTTCTGCGACGCTGCGTCTGCAGATCCGCCCGGGACGCGCAGTCCCGTGATCCATACAACCTACAACCTCCCAAAACAATGCTGCCACCAGGAAACAGGCACAGCATTTGCTCCTTGGTCTCCTGCCCTTTGTTCTTGGGTTTTGTTTTCCCGGTCACTCTGCAGATGCTTTCTGTCCGGTGCCTGTCCCTGTGTTTGCATTTATCTCGCCAGCAGATAGCGGCGTGCGGCACTGCTGACCTTTCCCTCCCAACTGTTACAGGTTGCCAGGTTGATCGTGGGAACAAACTGTTGTTTTAGGAAGAAAAGCATCGAAATAAACCTGAAATGAAAAATGCACACTTAGATATAGACCCCTCTTTTTCACAAAAGGGGTGGAGATCCTTTTCTGCCAAGAAAGGATGAAAGGCAGCATGCATAGAGACAAAAAAAAATAGCCCAGGAGTTAACGCTTTGCGCAAACGCTGGGCGCTGGCAGGCGCAGAAGTGCCAGGAGAGCACGGGGTGGGGGGGAAGCTGTGCAGCATCTTGAGTCCTTTGGGGTCCTTTTGATGCCTTTGGTTAACACTGGCCACAAAGGAGGGCTCCTGGGAGACTATCAGCATGGGGAGCAGTTAAACTGCATAAAAGGAGGCATGAAGATGGTAAAGAGGTGCTGACAGTAGCCCCAGGGTGTGTTGGAGGGGATTTCTGAGCCTACCGGGGCACAGGCTGAGGCCGAAGGATCTAACGCTGCTTATCTTTTATTTTCAGACGGATCCGCAGTACACAGCCGGAGTGGCAGAAAATATCAAAAACTTGTAAGCACTTCCAAATGACTACGGCAGTACAGTCTGTGCCTGTAGCAAGGCCAGGGAATGGCTTCATTAAGGAGAAAATACACGCTTTTCTGCTTCCCTTTTGTTTTGTTTTTTTTGGTTGTTTGGGTTTTTTTCTATTCTTAAACTCCGGGCTGTCTTTGCTATTGCCGCTTCCACTTTCTGCTTGTTCTAAAATGCCTCCCATATGTAGCTTCCATTAAGCTGCTTTGCGCTGGCGGTATTTAACGCACGTGGTCATGCCATTCCGTTTCGCTCTTTCTGTCCTGTGGCGTTGTGAGAAGGTGGATTATTTAGGTTTCCAGCGATCCTGGCAATTGTTTCTGTGGCTAGTGCAGCCCTCTACCTGCCCTGCGGAGTCAGAGCAGCGTGGTGAGCACGCCCAAATGCTCCTGCCTTATTTTATTTTAAAATCCATGGTCCATTTTTCTTCCTGCTCCAGCCCATTTGTTTTACCCTTGTTCTAGGCGCTAGTTACATTTGTCTCTCAGGCTAGCTGCTATTTATATCCCGGAGTCTTAGTGGTTTTTGCAGCTTTGTCTGTGGCTGTTTAGGCAGAAGCCGGTGACAGATTATTAACCGTGAGCCGGTCCAGGCGTTAACAGCATCAGGCTCAGAGGCAAATGAAAAAGGTGGTGAGAGAAGAGGCTGTGACTCCCGTCCAGCTCCTGCGATCGCATGTTTCCAGAGGATCGCAGCCGCCATAAGAAGGAGACGCGAAAGGGCAGCGCATCCTCCCGGCGCCCCGTGTCCCCGAGCCAATGATGGGAGAGGGGCTGGGATGCGTGCGGGGAGGGTTGCGTTCCCGGGTACGTGCAGAAGAGCTGAAACAGAGCCCTCCATCTTGCTGTGCAGGAGCTGGCAGAGCTCCCCTCCTGCTGCCTGCTGGCAGGAGGACGCACTTATCGGGGGATAATGGACTGATTGTCCGATGGATCCTGATGAAATTACTGGACGCTGCTGCAGAGAGTGCTTCTGCATAGAAGGCCTGAAACTTTAATTGACTTAATGATGTGCTTTCTTGCTGTCCCCCTCTCCAGTGCCTCCTGCCCTTCCCTGATTCACTGAAATTATTTTTCTTCCAAATTGAATTGAGGTGGTGTGGGGCCAGAGCAGGCTGAGCTCATATTGCAGGAGGGAGAAAGCTGTTGCTGCTTTGCTACAGGTTTTGTCAGCTCAGTGAGAAGTTTCTGTTTCGCTGCTGCCTGAGGAAGGGAAGATTTGAAAATGTTAGCTGAAAATCTTGCCAGTCCTAAGGAGGGAATAAGGAAGGGAAAGATAAGTGAGAAGTTTTTGGCAATCTCGCTGCTTTGTCTCTCCTCTGCCCCATCTCCTGTCCTCCAGGCTCTGCACAAACAAAGGAAATCAGCCTTGCACCAAATGTTCTCAAAAAGGCGGTATAAAAATAACTGGTTTTCCCGCTTATCTCTCACAGTTACAGTAATCTCTGGCTATTGCTTGCAAGGCTTTTGTAGGTACCCGTTTTTCAGATGGGCGACATTTTTTTTCCTGTTTGAGTTTGATTCTTTAAAAGGTTCTTAATTGCATTATAGGGAAAATAGATGCTGATTTTATCAGCGTAAGGGAACTAGGTAGAATTCCTG